TTTTCTTCTGATTCAAATGAATATGCACAGATTGATGTGTTTTGGAAAAACTATTTTGTGAAGAAAGATAATTTTGGGAATTGCAGAAATTTGGCAAAATTAAAATTTGATAGATGTTGGACTAGATACCACAAAGGTGATGACATCCTCATCTTCTTCAGAAAAAAAAATTATGTATTTAGGTGCAAGGTCTTTTTACTTGGCATGCGCAAAAAATCTATTAAAAGTATTGCCTCTTAAAAATAGATTACTGTACCATCTTAAAGTGTTGCATCCTGTAATGAGAATGGAAGAAACTTCTATTAAGTCAATAAGATATCTAACAACAGTAACCCCATCCATTATAAAGCCTGGAGAGGCATCTTTGTTACTAGATGAAGGGACAAGGTTACATGGGGAACCAGAAAGTTATTCTTCTGATTCAAATGAATATGCACAGATTGATGTGTTTTGGAAAAACTATTTTGTGAAGAAAGATAATTTTGGGAATTATCAAATATCCTCTTATAACATAGCTCTTTTGTGCGTACCACATGGGAATGCCAATATTGAAAGAGGTTTAAGGGTGAACAAAAAGCTACTTGACAATAAGGCAAGTTTAAATTTGCATAGTGTGAATGGTTTGAGAGAAGTTGTGTCATATATCAACAAAATAGGGATTTAAATAACTTTAAAGTTGACAAAGATATGATTAAAGTGGTAGCATTTAAAAATTATTCTGCTCGATTAGAGGTTGAGAAAAAAGAACGAAAAAAGCGAAAAACACTGAGACTGAGGAAAGCAGATTGAAAGCTGCTGAAATTGATTTGTAAAAAAAATTGAAGGCTTCTCAGGATCTCTTAGCCGCAGCTGAAAAAAATATTAAAGATAGTTAAAATAATAAAGACATATTAATTTATAGAAAGCGGACAGATCCTCTTATCTGAGGCTAAGTCGAGGATAGCAGAATATTAGACAGCATTGGAAGGTACCAAAAAGAAACTTAATTTTTTAATGCAGGGACCTTCAAAAAAGTGTAAAAAATTAGATAGGTTATTAATGAACGAAATTTAAAATTCTTGTTATTAAATTCTTGTTTTAATTCTATTTATTAACTATGCTCCAAATCTTTGTTTTGCTGCTCCAAAATTGCTTTTTTGTTGCTCCAAAGATGCTCCAAAACCATCTTTTGCCACTTGAAGCCCTGTATAGATAATATTGACATTTTATTCGACAGTAAAATCAAAGTGTAGCCACATCTGAATAACTTTTCAATTGTTCTATTTTGATCTCCCAAATTCAATTATTAATTTCTTGAAAGTACTTGCATATTAATAGCAATATAAATTTTTGTAGCTCTTTGAAAATCTGCCTCAGCTAGTGAAAATCAGTTCAGAAACACTAATGCATTCTGGTTTGAAAAAAGGTGAGCAATTTATCATTATACATATATTTCTTTATTTTATTCTTGCTCTTTCTTTCATATAATTTTTATTTCTGGAATTTTCTAGTCTTTTATGTTTAAAGTGTGTTTGTAAAAAATTTATTAATTTAGCTTTTATAAAGCGATTATCAGTTTACGTAAAAAGAGGTATTAATTAAGTCGTTCATCTACGCGTATAGTTAATTTACATGAATTATTATTTTTTTTTTATTTTTTGCGATTTCGGATCGCTATATTGTAACATTTTAAAAAAGTTTGAAGTTCTGTAGTTTCCTGCATATTACCCACAGGGTAATATTCACTGTATTATCCATGGATTATATGACGGCTCATTTAGAGCAGCAATCTGCTTTAATTAATAATGGAAATAACATAAATACATAATATAATTTTAATATATAATTAAAATAACTATTGGAGAGTTTTTCGAGGGTAAATGTATTTCACTAATAAGGTTCTCATTTGCTTCTCTGAATTCGCATACACAAATTTTTTGTGCGCTTTTATAATTGACGGAAGTTTGCAATATCTGATGCTCACAAAGATTATTTTGCAGATATTCTGTGTCTGAAGATCCACAAAGATGATTTTTTTGTTTTTTAAACAGTTAATCTGTAGATTATACACGAGAAATTAGGTCTTAGAAAAAATGAAACACTAATTTTATGCATATCTACCAATGCAAATGAATAATGGGGAAAATTGGCTCTCCCCGAGTGTTATGATACTGTAAAGTTGGGCTGTTCTTGGGAAAAACTGCTCCATTCCACCTTAAAATTAATTTTTTCCCTCAGAAACACTTTAATGAACATAAGCCTTTCTTCATATCCTTGATCTTCATATGTTATCCCTGTTAAATCCTTTAATTTTCTGCCAATTTCATTGTCGATATTTTTATTTCAAATCTGAGTTGTTAATTTTATAAAATTAATACCAAACAATTTTATACCTTGTTAAAGATACTCTTGCATACTTTTAATTGGTGCATGTAGTGAAGGTTAGACAGGAAATAAATAATTCATAGAGGTTTAAAAATTATTTTATTGATTTGCTTATGGTTTTTTTTCTCCCTTTCTTTCCAGGTGCAATTGATCCTATAAGCTCTCTCCTGAACAATATCTACAAAGAATTTCCTAATGACTTTGACATTATTTTAAAATCTTTGCCTAGTGAAAATGTAGAGGCTATAATGAAAGTACGAGCTGTAGTATAGAATTTAAGTAAATGATTATGTACATAAAGCAATTTATACCAAAAGCTTTTCAATAAAAATTTATATTTATTATTTAATTGCGTTATTTGTTTTTGTTTCTATAAACTTCTCCTTGTTGACTATTTATCAAATTCACCTTAGCTGGAATTAAGCATAAAAATGTACTCAATTTTGATTTCCTATGCCTGTGTTTATTTTTGATACAACTAAATGACAAACAAGTGTACGTGCTAGAACTTGTTAAATCCTTATAAGTTAATTTCTATTATCAAGAACTGAATTTATCCTATGCAATAAAAGAGAAAGACCTTTGTAGCCTGATCACCTGTATGACTCTTAAATTAACTCTTGAAATAAGTCAATTTTGTTTAAGGGTGTTATTGAAAACAATTTTAAGCCTTACATGAATTGACTTGAACAAGAAACCCTGAAAATTTTAATACTATTTAGGGTTTATGCTTTACCTAATTAAAAATATTTTGTTTTTATATTCCTGATTTTTGTATGTGTTTAAAACATCTTTTTCTAAGAATACAGTGGACAACTACAGCATCTTTTAAAGTTAGTTACTAAATGTATCCTTGGGTGAGCTTTAACCTCATTGAAATATGGTACCCGAATTTCAAAGTAATGACAAAAATAGAGTTAGCTTATAAGCTTTATTAGTAGTGCTTTAAATTTAAAATGCCCAAATTTGCATCCCAAAACCTATGTTTTTTGGGCATCTGTATTTTATACGATTCAAGAGTCATTTTTAAAGAGGTATGCGGGGAATCTTTGGCCGAAATCTAGTTAGTGCTGGGCCCGTGTCCAATAGCTTGTGTGTTCAATCCCCACCAGCCCAAGATTCCTTGTGTAGTAAATGGTGATTGATGCTTGTTAAATCTGTCGAGTTGCAGTGTCCTCCATGTTACCATAACAAATTAATACCTCTGGGGGTACTGATCCAAGAGTTTCCTTGTCTTCTGGATTGGTTCAAAATTGCAAGGCTACAGAGTTGAACATTGGTAGTCGTAAACCCAAAATAAGGTCGGATATTTAAAAAAAGGTACCACACAGTTTTGAGTTGAGCTGTAACATTATTTTTAAAATGACAATTGAAATGTTTCCAAGTGACACTTAAGAAATTTATGCTGAAACAATTATGCATGTAGCTATTTGTTTTATTTGAAAACTTACTTAATTTCAGCAAAGCATAAATTCTAAATTTGTGGAAGATAGATTGGAAGAAAATATTTTTTCAGTTGTATTTATTAAACTACTTGCTAAAATTAAATAGTAAAAGAGCAAATTAAATGCAAATAATCGAATAGCACCAAAATTCTTTATCTGTAGTATCAGTTCATCTTCTTATTCTTCAGTATTATTTCTTTCTTACGAGGGCCGGTTCGAATATTTCACAAGGAAATGCATTCTGCCCTGCTTTGACTTTTTCGACCGTCGGCGTTCTCTTGGCTACCGTGATAGTTCTTGTTTCCCCCCCCCCTCGTTAATATCGTTTTTTTTTTTTTGTTAACAGTTGTGCCTTTTTGTTTTATAACCTGCTCCCTTTTTCACGTGTTATCCTCCTTAGAAAGAGCGTCATTTGAATCACTTCGGCTACTTTTTCATTTCCATTATGAAACTAATCAGACTTTTTATTGCCACTTAACAATCTTTTTTGTATATCGCTAAAAGCAATATTCATATCGAATGTAAAAATGAAAACAAGCATATCAAGGAAACTTTTCACATGTCTTGTGTTGATAATGTTTAGATAGAAATGGATACTTTTAAATAATTTATGTCAAAAAGAAATTTCTAAGAACATGCGATAAATTTGTAGAATTGTTGCTATAAAAAAGTACGCTAGGTATCAATGGATAGACAGACAAACCCTTATTGTGACAATTCATTGAAACTTACACTAGTTCTATAATTTTTATTTTATCACATGAATTGTAATACATCACAAAATTGCAACATTTATTGTAATAAGTAACCATCACAAAAATACACTTTGACTATTTTTAATAACAATATCGACTAAATTTATTTTTAAGAATTTATATATTCAATAGTGTTATATTATAAACGCTTTTCAACTTTTTTCACAAAAATTTAGATATGTACTTTTCTTTTAGTATAAAAATTATATTTCCATACAAATTAAACAGTTTAAAAAATATTCCAATCATAAATACTTTTGCACAAAATGGACTCAGTTCAATATTTAAATTTTATAATCTAATATTTGGCTTATAGATTCATTTCTAAGAACTTCAAAAATCACAAATATATATATATTTGATTGATAAATACTTTTTATTGAAGCATTTATTATTATTTTTTTTTGAACTTGTTGACATATCTATATGTATAAGCAATTTCAAAATATTAAATTTATTTTCATAATTATGGCAGTAAAATCACACCTGCTAAGTTCACACAAAAACCACACTGTTCCTTAGAGCTATAAACTACTCTATTTAATAAACATGGACGATACACACGTTTTAAAATATAAACACATACACATGGATTTCACAAAGGTTTTATAATAGAAATTTACCAGGAAAGTTAAGTGCTGGAGAGTATTTTTTTAAACATAGTAACATTATAATTATTTTGAAAACAATTGATTCAACATCGATTTTGAATACAGTAAAAAATAAAATACAGAAATGCACTAAACTCGTTAAGCAGCAACGTCTTGTTGAGAAATCTCATATTACTAAGTTACATTAAGCAATATACAAGCTCTGTAATGGTTAGTTAAAACCATCATTTTTGGGAGGGGGTAAAGCTCACATAACTTAAGTAAAAAAAAGAAATGAAATTTTAGAGAAATAAGCAAAATTATTTCTGATTCGTAAAAATATCAGTTTAAAAAAATCGATTATTTTTTTCTAAATTAATTGCTTTAAAAAAGACAAATAAGATCCAAAGATTTTTTAAAGCAGTTAACAAAAAAAGTTTACTACGCTTAAAGAGAGAGAGCATTAGTTAATAGTTCGATATTCATTTTTAATAAAGCATTTTATGTAAAGAAATAAAATCTGTATTTTCCTCATCTATGCTATATATATGACTGCGAATATTGAAAACGTAATGTGCTCAGAATTATATCTTGATTATTCATGGAGCAATCAATCTCATGTCCCCGAATGATTAAGATACTAGATTATGTGACGTTTTTAGTATTCAATGTGTGTCACATAAGGCTGTTGTCATTTATTGTCACAGTACTGGCTAACGTTATGTATTAATATTTTTCCTAGAAATTAAATTTTAGAAAATGGAAACAGTTGATTTATATTGAAACTTAAGGTAGCAACATACTTAAAAAGTACCTTATATAAGCATTCAGTTTATTATGGATTAATTTTTAAGCGATAAAAGTACCTTAAATAACCATATTTTTACAACATTATAAAATAGCATTATTTTTTAAGCACTTAAATGTTTTTCATAAAAAAAATAAAATCTTTGTTTTTAGAAACTTCTTAAATGTACCAATTAAAAGATTATTTATAAAAATATTAATCCTGATTTTATTTTCTTGGTTTAAATTACAGTCTTTTTTTTCCAGTGTTTATTAACGTTATTTTTATCAAAATCAAAAGGAAAGCTTGTTGGCAACAATACAAGCAATTTTTTTTAAATATTTGTTAGGTTGTTTTGGATAAAATATCTGGCAATGATTTTCAACGCAGACGATTTTATTTTAAATGTTGAGCAATAATTAAAAGAACATCTGTAAAACGTTTGGTATGAAAACAAATGGTTAAAATAATTCGAATTTTTAATAATAGCTAATAATTAGAATTTCGATAGGTTAATACGATGATCACTTTTAACAACATTTGTGATGTCTGCAACTAACAAAGAATTTGGAAACGATGTTAAAAAGTTATAAGGTATTATTTCTTACTGATTTTGGTTTCTTTAGAATTTTCTTTTAAATTTATAAGACATCTTTCTTTTTGAAACTTGACGTATTAAACTTTATTTGTATAAAATATTCGTAAACCACTTTTCTGTCCAAAACTTGTCTTTATGATATAATATAGTAGGAAAGGAAATAATCATAAAAAATAAGAGTGAGGTGGGGAAAAAAAATTACTTATTGTCTAAAATCCTAAAATGTAAAACAATTCCTGATTTTGTATTAACTGAGGGTTTATAAAAACTAGGTAACACAAAAATTAAATTATATGTCTTTAAAGAAGAAATATGCATTTGGTTTCAGATTAGTTTCTGAATATATTTCATGCAGTTTTTATTTTTGCTAGAGATGAATATCTTGTTATGTGATTTGTTAGGTTTCTAGCAAAAATAAAATGAACTTTCTTTTTCAAAAAAACAGCAAGAAACAATTCAAATACGTATATATTCTTTTTTAAAAAAGTTCCAAATGAAGTAATATATATTCTACATATATTACCAGCTAATTAATAAATTAATTGTATAATATCAATGTTCATATAAAATATTAATACTTTAGATTTAGATCATCAGAAAAATGTATTTCAGAGTTACCGTAATAATTGAATGGATGAAAATGAATAAACAAACGAAAAGGGAAATATTATTTTAGTTATGTTTTTATAGTGCATTGTTTAGTAGACTCATGCAACACTTAAGGCTGCAATTAATTTATCTTATTTACTACCGAGCCGTTGCAAATGTTTTGCATATCATTAATAAGCAAATACTAGCTCGTAAGTTACAAAACACGTTCTTTAACATATAAATGGTTATTATTACTATTTCTTTAACCATTCATCATTATATTTCGTTCATTTATCGCACGTTTAAGTTTGTTTTCAACTTTAAGATTGCATGTACGTGTTGTAAATATTATAAGTAATATTTCAAAAATTGGATGCATAAAACAGCATGATGCAATGCATTAAAAAAGAAACGTTACAAATTTTGTATATCATACAATTTTTCAAGATAAAACAAATTCATAGTTCAATGGCAAGAATAGAGTTTTTAATGCTTTTTTAATTAATATTGTTCATATCAATAAAAAAGCATAATATAGCTGCAACTTTCTTCACAACATATAAACAAATACTATAGCTACACATGACTAGATTGATTTGTGCTCAACAATTCGTATAGATGCCAAATGTATTTCACATAAATAAATATTTTCATTTAAGAGCATTAATTTATCTATTTTTCTTCAGAAAACGCTTGCATACTTTCGTAACTATTAATAATTATTAAAAACTAATTGTTAAAAAAATTATTTGGTTAAAACTTGCTATAATTTATCAAAAAAGACGCCATTAGATTATTATTTAGCTAGATTTTCATATTCTCTCATTACTTGTTAATTTTAATTTAAGCTTTAAATTGAGGTAAAAATATATATATATATGTCCATTTAATTTATTATTTTAATTAAATTTTTTTTTCTATTTCTCTGTTGTTGTTTTTTTAAAAAGAAAGAAAAAAAAACGGCAGGCGACTTTTAATATTAAAACGAAATCTTTCATTTTATTTTATTTATCAATTTATTTAATTTTTGGAATAATAAAAATTGGAACAAAAAAAAAATCAACTTTTTATATTTGAATGAAATCGCATATTTTTTTAGAACCTAATTTCGCTACGTATAATTATTGAGAAATGGTATTAATATTTGGAACTTTAACAGACATGATACAATTATTGTATTTCAAAAAGGTTTGGCACCTATGGAGAAAAAAAAAAATAATCAAAGGCATTCTAACTCTGCCACAACCTTCAAATATTGCACTACCAAGAAAAATGAGAGGTTTTCTAAAACGATAAGGAACATTGTAATATACGTAATGATATTAAACTATTTCAAACAGAGCTAAATAACAAAGGGATAGAATTTTAACAAGCAACTGGAAGCACCACAACACCGAGTAATTTAACGCTAAGCCAATTAGTTGAAGCATAACGAAGTTTACTTAACCCTTTTATTTTCTGCATATGAAAAGAGGAAACTATTGATGGTACAAATGAAACATTGTTAAGTTTTTCCTGAAAAAAAAAAAGTCAGGCTGTTAATTTCCTACAAAGGAAGTTATTAAATATGCAGCTAATGATTTTGTACTGTGATTAAACTTGTTTGAATATTGATTTACCTTTTTTTGACAATTTATCCTTCCCAGATTTTGTATAGATATTGAATTCTTTAGTCACAAACATTAGTTAAGAACTAGATAAGTTTAGTAATATTTCAAGCTTTAATTGTAGAAAGAAATGTCAATGCGCCATAAAGTGAAATATAAAAATATGTTTAAAAATTATTAACTAAGGGGGAAGAGCAGTTTATGTTCATGAGAGCTGATTTTGACGGACGAGCGGTCAAGTAATGTGCTTCTATCACATGACCCATCTTTATTGAGTAATAACTATAAAGGAGAACCGATTTTCCCATTATTGAATTCTGAGTACTTTTAATCCTTAAAATGCAACGTATGGTGATCCGACCACCTTTTTTCTTAAAAAAGAACAGAAACTGTTCTTCCCCCTTTATTTTCGATTGTATTCAATAGAACTTTAGCTATTTCTGTTAAATCAATTTTTTTATTGTTTTAAGTTTCTTGTAAATGATAAAGTATCTCGTATCTAAGGTTTTTGGCCCACAAAATGCTTTCCTCCACATCCGCAAAAGAAGTCTGCATGTGAAACTTATATATGAGTAAAACTTTGTAAGGAAATATATGTTACTGTTAACGTATGGAATGCTATGATTCTATCTAATGTTAAGTCATCGTATAGATTGCTTGGCGCGTTTTTAGGAAAGTATGAAATAATCGAACGAATGCTTAAGCCGTCTATTGAATGACAAATTCTCTCTTAGCGAACTAGAAAACATGTGAATCATTATGTACTGGTCTAGCCAATGCATAAAACGCCATTGGCAATGTATGAAATATTAATAATTTCATACTTTGCCGGGATAGCCTGGTTGGTAGGGCACTGGACCCAAGTCCAAGAGTTCGTGGGTTCGATTCCCACTGGCCGAAGACTCCTCTTGTAGTAAATGGTGACTGATGCAAGTTAAATCTGTCGAGTCAAAAAGTCCTCCATGTTCCCATAACAAATCATTACCTCTGGCGGAACTGATCCAGGCGTTTTCTTGTCTTCTGGATTGGTTCAAAATTACAAGGCTACGGAGTTGAACATTAGTAGCCGTAAATCCAAAATTGGATCGGCTGTTCAACGACGGTTGTACAAGGACTGTACTGGACTAGGAATTCCGTAGAAAGTCTGATAGCATACTGTCTGATAGCATTAATGTATATAAACTACCCTAAGGAACAAATTTTTTGGCCCATCTTTACAATTACTTTATCTTTCCTAGTTCGGGTGTGGAGATTTCAAACCTGAAATTAGTTTTTACTCTTAAGGCTACAGATATTTTTAAAACGGCATTTTCAGTCTATTTTTAGTAGAAAGGAGATGGCGCAAACGTTGCGACCAATTTTCAAAGGAGTTAGGGCAAATTATCATGATTAAGATTGCATAGAAACTCATGCTCAGAAATGTCGTCATACGCCATTAAGGGCGCTTTCCCTATTATGACGTTCAGAAACAGTTCTTAGTAGGAAAGAACACTTAGCGGCGTAGGAAAACATTACGCGTATGGGATCTTATGCAATTTTAATCCTGATGAAGTGCCCTAATTGCCCTAGAAGGTTATCGCACCATTTATGTAACTCCTTTTTATATATAACGTTTTTAAACTTCTATCTTTCGACGAAAGATAGATTGAAAGTGTCATTTAAAAAAATCTATATTTTGGGAGAGAAACTGATTGCAAATTTGAAATCATCGATGTAAAATTATTCAAGATTTGTTACAAAATATCTCATGCAACGGAAATTTTTTTTCTCCTTAGTGTTATCCATCAAATTTTACTTAATTTGAAATTGTTGTAAATCAGTGCTTCTTTTATCAAATAATGTTCAAGTCTCAATGTTTTATTAAAAATAAAAAGTTTAAACTGTAGTAGAAAATAGAAAACGATAATGGAAACATTCTGAGTGTTCATACAAAATCCTTTATTTGCACAAAGTAATGTTGCTCCCTTTATTTTACAGAAAAAAGTAATTTTTTAATAAATAAGAATAAATATTTTTCAATAAAATTGGAAGCATTCAGACACTTCTTGGATAGTATATGATATTATTTTTACGCAATATTATAGAATTACAACAATTTTATAACTTACTTAAAATCGGATTGATACTTTTAACATATTTTATGCAGAATGTGAGAGTTTAGTTTCTCTATGTGAATTTTTTTAAACATTGGAAGAAAAATGTGAAAACATTTTTAATTGCTTTAGAAAAAACATAATTACTTACAAGGAGGCGGTGTTTGTTCATCCTTGGCATCTGTATCCGTACTATCGCCCGAGAAAGATTTACCCTCTTTATCTTTGGAGGATGCTTTTGCCTGTAAAATATCAAGGATTATATATTCGTAGAGACTTTTGCCTAAAAAAATCATACTTCATTCCTGTCGTATTATCAGGAGATAATTTATAGAAATGACATAAATTTTAGCTCACTTACTTGTGGCTTAGGAGCTTTATCAGGCAACAAAGTAATTTTACCAATATTTTTGCGATCATGCATTTTTTGCATAGCTTCGGCTACCTAGTGAAGTAAAAAACAAGAAAAAACTCTTAACTTTCATTTTATTTCAAGTCTTAATAAACATTAATTAAGTTTATTTCACATCATTTTCTCTTTGATAATTTAAGTTTTTATAATTATTTATGTAAAAAAAATTTTTTTGTCTTGTAAATCTCTCAAGAACTAATCAACAGGTTTATTTCGTATTTTAAATTTATGCCCATAAAACTACTAATCACTTAGAGAAAAGATGTTTTGGTTCTGACAACTTAGTTTAATTTACGAATATTGTTTATTAATTATCTTCAATGTTTAATTTGACTTCAATATCAATTTTATCTAGATGCATAAAAATCTCATTGTTAGAGGGAAGATAATTTCGTTGTTTTATAAATTAACTTAATTTGTAATTAATTTAAATTTATGTTTAACAGTTATTCGATACTAATTGTATGTAAATAAAGATAAATAGTTCTATTTAATTATTACTAGTCTTTAGCATTAACTCTTGAGTAGTAATTTAATTAGATATTAATAACTGTTCAAACTTATTATTTTAGGGGAAGAATGTCCAGAAGGTGCGATTTATTCTGGTCTCACTAATTTTTATAGAAAATTTTCTTTATAGACTAAATGTAGTTAATTTGACTTTTAGTGGAATAAATTTTTTTCTGTCTTGATATAAAGAAGATAATATCTTCTTTATAATCCATTAGATACTTGGAAAGTCAATGGTTAATAAACCTAGATGTGATATTTAATGGTCTCCTTAAAAGGAATTAGTTATTTTAATACATTGAAAAAGTAAGCTCATTACCTTAACTTGGAATAATAGTGTGTTAATGATAGTTAATAATTATAATAATTAAACTTGAAAGTGCTTATTACTCACGTCTTCAAAGGCCCATCCCGAGTCAGTTATGACTTTAATTTTCTGGTTTTCCCAAAGTTTAAATACTTTGTCGACCACATCTCGAACATAGTCATGGCACCCTTGTTGATATAGTAAGTGGCGTAGATGGAAACCTGCTAGAATTTTGTTTTCATCAAAGAGCTTTATTGGACTCACTTTATCAACTTGCCACCACTAGAAATGAAGTAGTTATAGTAAAAGATGAGCAGCAAAAGCATGGTCTTTTTACAGTAATAGTGGAACAGTAAAAGACAGTTCATGTACAGAATATAGAACATATTACAATGAAACAGGTATGTTAAAAGAAAATCTTATTTATAATTATAATACAAATTTTATTACATTTTTCTAATTAAATTATGCTATTAAAGAAATCAAAATACTTACTGATTTTGCGAAGCTGAAAAAACTTTTCGTTTCTCCAGATACAATACTTGATGTCCCTATAAATGAATATAAGAATTACTTTTCTAGAAAAAATGCCTGGAATAATTGATGTCTTGCACCAACCACAGTGCTCAGTGGCGAGCAAATCATGGGTTACAATCACCTTGTCATCGTGCTAACCGTGAGAGGTCTTTGTGGTTTTCCTCTCCATGTTATTTAAATACGGGTTAGCCCCATCAAAAATTCCTCCTTGAAGGTTATTTTGTCCCAATGTTTAATGCAGAAGTTCCTTTGTCTTCTGGGTTTGGTTCAAAAGGATGCGGAGACTAACATACTGTAAACTCATAATTATGTCTACTTTTCAACGCCGTTTATATGTAAGATAAACATTGTTATCTAAACATGTGGTGAATCTGAATTAATCCAAACCCAGTAGGAAAGTGAAAAAAAAAGGCATGCTATTATAGGTCTAATTGCAATAATTTAGTTTTGCTTCGTAATTTAATGTATTTTTGATCAAGTGAGCCATTTCAAGATAAGATTGTATTGCGTTATTGATGCTTTTTCGTTACTTTTTATTTATTACATAAGAACTGAGTAATTAAATTTCTTGCTGAGAGATTTTGATTATCTTTCTTTCGTGCTACATATATATATATANTACTTGATGTCCCTATAAATGAATATAAAAATTACTTTTCTAGAAAAAATGTCTGGAAAAATTGATGTCTTGCACCAACCACAGTGCTCAGTGGCGAACAAATCATGGGTTACAATCATCTAGTCATCGTACTAACCGTGAGAGGTCTTTGTGGTTTTCCTCTCCATGTTATTTAAATACGAGTTAGCCCCATCAAAAATTCCTCCTTGAAGGTTATTTTGTCCCAATGTTTAATGCAAAAGTTCCTTTGTCTTCTAGGTTGGGTTCAAAAGGATACGGAGACGAACATTGATAGCTGTAAACTCATAATTATGTCGACTTTTCGACGCCGTTTATATAATAAGATAAAACATTGCTATCTAAACATGCGGTGAATCTTAATTAATCTATACCCAGTAGGAAAGTGAAAAAAAGGCGTGCTAATAGGTCTAATTGCAATAATTTAGTTTTGCTTCGTAACTTAATATATTTTTGATCAGTTGAGCCATTTGCAGGATAAGATTGAATTGCGTTATTGAAGCCTTTTCGTTAATTTTTATTTATTATATAAGAACTGAGTAATTAAATTTCTTGCTAAGAGATTTTGATTATCTTTGATTATCTTCTATTTATTATCATGCTACATGATAATACATGATAATCTCAGTATTACAGTGAAATTAGTCAATAAAACTAATAATAAATGATCTTACCATATAAAATATAGCGGCCTAATGGTTTCAGTAGGCTGTATCCTTTATTGACATCTTCGCAAACACAGTCTAAAACTAAGTCAACTCCATTTGGCAACAACCTATAAGAATGTTGGGAAAACATTGATTTAATTTATGATAAAACTTAATAAAACTAATGAGAAATCATAAAACACAGAAATATACAAATTCTTGTAAATCTAATTCACTTACAAAAATCACACAAGCATTATTTTATTTTATGCTGTAATTTGAAAATAATGTTAGAAAAACATTGTTCTATGTTCTAGCAAAAATTAATGAAGTTCATGGGAAATCGTAAAACAAAGTACAATAACATCCNAAAATCACACAAGCATTATTTTATTTTATGCTGTAATTTGAAAATAATGTTAGAAAAACATTGTTCTATGTTCTAGCAAAAATTAATGAAGTTCATGGGAAATCGTAAAACAAAGTGCACTAACATCCTATCAAAAATATAGCAAACTGTCATCATTTGATTCGCAATAACCGAGAGATGAATATTTTCGTACAGAAATGCATTTCGTTGTAAGAAATAACATAAATCAAGGATAAAAATATTGTTTCATTCTGATCTTTGAATTGAAAAATTTTTAACTTCTTTATTAATTTATTTTCAAATAGGTGAGTAAATATGAATTTCATTAACGTTTAATGTCATAAAGAAATTCCATGATTTATATGTTTGCTTAAAAGGAATCTTGAAGTAGTAAAAATTGTTTTAGAATATTTTGTACGGTGTTCAAAAATAAATAAAGAAAGAATAAAAATCGATAACACTCACCAAGTCTTTTGATCTTATGATCGGATTTTAACTTTTATTTCTCAAGAATTATTCAAATGATTTCCCTCAAATTCTGTATTTTATCACTTAAAATTAGAAACTTTAAAATGATCGAAATATCTCCATAGCTTAAAATCCAAAATTTTTTTCTTCTAAACAATACATTAAAAAATAATAAAGTATTATTAAGGATTATTTTTTACATGAAAATGTGTTTGGAAATCGGCAGAATTTTAATATTTATTTTATCCAATCCTGTCGAAAAAAAGCATGTTTATTCAGAGAAAATACGGGGTTTTGTCACATTTCGTGACTTAAAATAACGTCTTCACTAATCAGCATATTTAAAGTTCAGATCTCAAACCATTGAGATTGAGTTTTATAGTAATTGAAAATCCGATTAATAAATCAAAAGTTATTAAAACTCCTTATTTTAATTTATTTATTATTATTATATTTTTTTTTTTTGAACAAATTTTGAAACAGGGGAAGGAGTTCCCTAATAAGGTTTCACCTCTGAAGGGTATTTCTCGTAATAGTTCTACACACAATATAAATACAATAAGATAATTAGAAATTAAATAATTACTTTTTAGTTTCTTGCACATAATCTTGACTATGATCAAATAAATGAGTAAAATATTCTGCTATTGCTTCATGCTTATGTTTGGAGGCTGTTCCGATGAGAGTCACATCAGATACAGATTTGCAAAGATTCGCAACAGCGAGACCCTTAAAAGAAAAGAGATTAAGAATATTTAGCAAAGCTTACTAGATGATCGAGCTGTTAATCGAGTTACGACATGTATTTCGACAAGCAAAAAAATATATATTTATGAATTAAATCTGTTATTCCAGTAATGTTTTTTTAATGCCCTTTCTTTTCTTTATTCACTCGCTGTATCAAGAATCATTAATAGGAACATTTGCTCGAGAGCATTCCACCAAACACATTTCTTAAGAATTTATATATTTTTTCTAATGCCCACCTGGAGAATGACCTTTCGTAATACAGGCATCTGAAGAGCAGATTTGTTGACCACTCTTTCAGGGGCACCATGTCAGGTGGGCCAGTGTGCTCCCACTGTAAGGACAAATAATACAGAGAAGGAAGGAACATCCGTGCCGGGATTCTGACCCAGAACCTTTCTGATGAAGGCTAGTTCCCTAACCTATACCAGTAATGTTGCATACTTGAATTCAATTAAGAAAATACGAAATCATCAGTCGAATATAGCAGATAGCTTTCGATTCGAAAGACACTTTGTGTGAAATTAAGATATGTGAGAAAAGCCATGAAACTCTTCTTAAGGTCTCTTGAAATCACTGAATTAATGGTGTAAATTTATAAGTCTTTATACAATTAGTAACGTTCTTAACATAAATGAGTTTTTAAATAAAATGGAATGTTTACGAACATGTTTTATTAACAGCTAAATATTATTTTTTGAAATTAATTTTCTCCAACTCAATGGGTTTATGCAAAGTGTTTATATCAGTCCTATTGTTTCAGATATGTAGGAAAAAACTGAAACTTTTCATCAGGCTTAAAATTATTAACTAAGCATAAACGAAAAATAAGAGATTAACTCGTAGGTATTGGGCACGAAGCACTAATGAAACGTGATTAACTAAAACGAAGTATCTGCACTAAATACAGAAAAAGAGTTTGATAAGAGTGGAAAAATAATTTCTTATTCGTTGATTTACAAAGACGAAATTCATTTTATTTATTCAAGAATTGTCAAACCCTATCGGAACCTTGTAATTTTGTACCCAACTGAAAAGACTAAAGAGATAACGAATCATGCACTGAGTCAAACTAACCACTGTGGAGGAATTTTTGACTAAAATTAACCTGCTTCGTTACGTGGTGAAGATAGCTATAAAGGCCTGTCACGGTGAGCTTAAGAAGAAGAGGAGTTTTCTTTAACATTGAGTTCGGTGTTGGAATTTATCAATATACGAATAAACTAGTCATTCTCGAAGTTTAAACATGGGTCCCTTCATCAAGAACCTTGCATATTCTAAATTATTTCGGTTCAGTTGCTAACAAATCTCAATTATCGAGATGTTTTTTTTAAAAATAATTCTACTTTTCTTTTCATGATCTGAAATGACTGTTGCTCATTCTTTTATACATACTTTTGGCACATACCCTGAGAAAAATTACGGTTAATACTACCAGAATAAGGTAACGCGGGTAATAAAGACACTGTTTACCGTGTTTCTAGCTCTATGGGAACACCAAAATTCTCGGAAATTTTTACCGAAGCTCTTTGATAATGATTTTGGTAAAATTACTAATAAAATACGGTTTTATAAAATGTGATAAAATTTGATGATTTTATCATCATGCTTTTGAGCATGGCATAAAAACCACTTATTCGGTTATAAATTTGTTTTTCAGTTTTGTATTTTTTTTATGTGTGGTAAAAGCAATAATTTTAAAAGCCAAAATTTCCAGTAAACAGATACTATATGAAGGGAAAAATTACCAAATGAATGGTTTTAATACCATATATCTTGGTTTTTATGAGCAGAATTATGTTTCCCCCCCCCCTCTTTCTTTAACCAGAAATGTTATTACCAAACTCCACAGTAATTTTATTAGAATTCTTTTCGCTACGTTCAACGCAAAGCTACTTTTGTTTTTAAACGAAAGCTACAAGAATTTTTACTTGCCACACTCCCGCCTGCTGAGTGTAGTATGACTTTCTGCCCTTTTTGTAAATTTCCAATATCAAATACTAGACAATAGGCAACCACATAATTCATGAGGATTGACACGGCTTCTTGAGCACCCATACCTGGAGGCAAAGCGTACACATATTTTGCCTGAGCACACACAAGTTCTGCCCATGCTTTGTATTCCGTTAAAGCTGCAACGGTATCTCCTACCTGTGAATGAAAAGCACAGAATTATCTAAGAAATGCCTTAAGTAATTGCATTAAATAATCCAACCTTAAATAATTGCATTAAATAATCCAACCTTAAATAATTGTATTAAATAATCCAACCTTAAATAATTGCATTAAATAATCCAACCTTAAATAATTGCATTAAATAATCCAACCTAAAATAATTGTATTAAATAATCCAACCTTAAATAATTGCAAGTTTCATAAAGAATAAAAAGTATAGTTAAAATTTAAAATGGATTCAAACGGGACCCCACTCTCAACTTTTCAAAGAATCGTACTTTTTTGTTTTGTATTTTTTGGAAGATTATTGTCTATTAAAAACCCATTGAAAAAGAATATTTTCCGAGATACACTGTTTACGGTATGAAGTATCGACACTTTGGCTGCATCATCTGTAAAATCCCTTTTACAGTAAAATCTATTTTTACATAGCCTTAAATCCATCCCAATTAAATGATGATGTTATTACTTTTAACTTTTGGAAAATTTGCCTCTGATTAACTTCGCATTTTATATTTCTGCAAATGTCAAATGTGAATAACATTATATCACTATTTTAAAAAATAATGAATGTAACTATTTTCTTTTTAATTGCTTTTAAACCAGGGACTTTTGACGATTTTTTTTTAACTTTTCGATGAATTCGGTTAACGCTAACAAGGGAATGAGACTAATTGCTATGTTCATTAACCCATATAAAATAAATCTTCTAATAGCCGATTTTTACTTATTTTTAATACTTTTATTTATTTTTTTGTTTCTGTTGTAATTCAAAGAAAATGAGTTGAAATTTGGAAATTAATTGCAACAAAATTTTTTCGAAAAAATTCCTAAAGCATTTTGAGGAAAAGATTTTCTAATAATGTATTATTGAATAAAACTTGAATAATTCGGATTTTAAAAATACTTCTGATATCATTAAACAGTAAAATAAAGAAGTTGGACTCCTTCAGTTATCATGGTATTTTGAAATTATTGAATCCTTTGCAGGTTGAATCCTGTAATGTCTTCGTTTTTTATTTACCATTTATTGCAAATAATGCAAAATCATTTCTTTCAAGCAGATATCACAATTTAGATAAACCTAGTCTATAACTTACTCCGAAATTATAAAATTCTATAACAGCTAGGAATTATTTACCTTTTATAGATATGTTGTTCCTCGACAAAAAAGTGAATAAAAAATAAATTAATTAAAAATAAATAAATTAAAATAAATGAGAAAATCGAAAAAACAATCAAATAGGTTAATTTATGAACTGTCAAATGATAATTCATTTAATTTGTACTACTGTAAAGATAATTTTTGTCAGCTAACGTTCTACAAGCACAGAAGGCCCGATCATTCCATTTTTTTTTACAAATTGCAATCACAAACTTTTTCATTTATTGAGATATTTTATTATTAAATTTGTTTCGTTGAACATCAATTAACTTTCACGGTAATACTGTTCAGCTATACGTCTAAGGAAGATTTGCAATAGACTTTTTGATATTTTTTTTCAGTGGGAGTCAATATTTCTAATGCTATAATGAAACAGAATATGTTACATGTTAGTACATGTAACATATTAACATATACATGTTAGTTAAAAGAAGAATGTCAATATTTGAAGATGAACTATAACGGAGGTTAATTAAATTGTCAATTTTCAATCATGATATTTTTTTCCTTCATTTTTTTGTATACTAATATAATATCTAATGTCTAGAATACATTGTACGAGATATAATAGAATTATACTCGAATAGCAGAATTATACGAGGACGAAGTTTAATCTACTTTTCTGTTCTAGAAATATTTGTTTTCATAACAAAATATTTTTACAAAAAGGTTTAAATTGCATATTTCGGTATCTATAACTAAGCAACAAATATTTAGAGGTGAAAAAGATATAGAGTGAGTATGGCGTGTTCCGAATCTAGTTTTCGATGGCATTTGCTGAGTAAATTTGTATTCAGCAATTGTACTTTAATAAAATTATTCCATCTAAAGAAATTTTTTAAAAAATTTATGACAAATATAACCGAAATGAAGACGCACACAAAAAGTTTTTCGCTTGAAATCCAACATAATTCGCTAGCGTCATTTTTTGTACCTTCCTTGTAAACCTCTCTACCTTTTCCAAGTGTTAAATAATTATTTTTTAATTTCATTAGTTTTTATTTAAAAAAAAATTTTTAGGAAAAATGCTTTAAAATTAAATTACTATTTTAAATTGCCGAAATCAAATTCCTCAAAATGAGCTTATTTTTGAATAAAATAACGAATTAAAAAGCATAAAAAAAAACCTAACTTGAAAATATGTTTCTTAAGAGCATTTTAGGCAAATCCGTTCAAACAACTCTTTACTCTCTTAACATTTTCTTAACGAGGTAAACTGTCGAAATTGAAAGTTATAATCTGACGATCTTCATAAGTCAAAGAAAAAAAAACTGAACAATATAGTTCTTTTTCGTGACTTTTTTTCTTGCAGAAATTATGAAAGAGATTTAGATGTATATCAGAGTAAAAAAAAAGCAAAGCAAAATTTTAATTCCTCTTTTCTATTAATTAATACGTTTATCACAACTTGTATTATTAATAACAGTATTATACAATATTAAATGCTCTTGAACAATTTCATATGGAAGTAAATCTTATAATTTAATACTGAAAAAAGCCACATAATTTTTTTGTATTTTTAATAAAATAAAATCAATAAAAGAATGTCAATCGGTGAAACGTAGAATTTCTAAACTATGAATTTCAAGAAATAAACTATTAAAATTTGAGAAAATCTCACATTTTCAGTTTTTGTCCAGAAAAATTAAAAAAAAAATATCCCAACAAATTACTATTCAAAAATGAATACATTAAAGTAAATTTCATAATTTAATACTGAAAAGAGCCACATCATTTTTTTAAACTTTTAATGAAATAAAATCACATAAAAATCAACTTACATCAATAAAAAAGTGTCAACCGATGAAATGTAAAATTTTTACTCTATGTATTGAACTATTAAAATTTGAAAAAATCTCACATTTTCAGTTGTTGCCCAGAAAAAAATTTTAAAAAATCGTCCTAACAAATTCATATTTAAAAAATTAATATATTAAAGTAAATTTTATAATTTAATACTGAAAAAAGCCACATAATTTTTTAATATCTTTAATGAAATAAAGTCGATAAACGAATGTCAATCGGTGAAGTGTAAAATTTCTAAACTATGAATTTCAAGAAATTAAACCATTAAAATTTGAGAAAATCTCAAATTTTTAGTTGTTCTCCAGAAAAATTTTTAAAAAAAAATATCCTAAAAAATTAATATTCAGAAAAAGGAAATGTTAAAATTTAAATTATGACATTGATAAAATTTTTCTCGACGTGAAAAGGAAAAAAAATCGATAGAAAAAATTTTTTTTGCAAAAAACTTTCTTGATATCCTTATGAAATAGGAACTACTATAAAAAAAAACTATGAAGCAATAGAAAAAAGCAATTTTCTGGACAAATAATTAAAAGTATATTTTCGTTATTGTTTTTAAGGTTTCAATTTTATCATTTTTACCGTCAACTAAAGAGGCATATAAACAAATAAAAAAATACATTATGAAAATGACTTAAAAATTTTTACAAAATATTTTGTGACTTGATCATAAATTGTAAGACATGCTTGTGTCTCTCAGCACCAAAAATACTTTACACAAAGTACGCACACTCTATACCAAGAGCCAAAAATAGCTTCTGGTGTAGTCAAACACCAAAAATTTTCACTTATTCTAGTTGGTGAAAAGTAGCTGCCATCATCTCGGTATTCCGTAAAATTACCATTTATAAAAACAATAAAATTTGATACACATGCGAATCAGTAAATCTATTTTTAAGAAACAATTTAAAGGAAGAAGTTGTGTAGTTAGCTGAAGTAGTTTAGGAAACATACACGTGCTTATTCTTAAAATATAATTAATTTTTAAATCAATTATATGCATAGCAAGCTAAGAATAAAATTAAGTGGAATTTGAATCAGGCTTTGGAAATAAAATTTTATAAGACTATTTAATTCAATTGGCATACATTTAAAATATGATTATCTTTATAACACAACCAAAAACATGCTTACATTTAATTATGGGGAGCTTCTGTTTCGATAGATGTATAGCAATGAAAAAATAACAAACTCACGCTATTCCTTATTCAATGGTAAACTGTTTACAAAAAAAAGGTTACATTGGCATGTTTGGGAAGAGAAAACAGTTCTCGAATGGTGTAAACACGCTAGAGCGTTATCTTTGTGTGATCATCTTACATTGTTGTTAGATTAAACTACACCCTTTAAGGCAGTGTTCCCCAACCCCCGGTCTAAGGACCGGTACAGGTCCGTGGATCAAATGGTACCGGGCCGCCCATTTCATTGAAACTGAATTTAAATTTCTAGGTTTATACGCCAAATTAAAAATTTCTGGCAAGGAATGGATCTGCGACCCATTTGTCAACAAATCGGGCGAATCTAGCATGTCTGTGCAAGAAAAAGATCAACTGCTGGAGATTGCTAATGATGGCGGCCTTACAACTACGTTCGAGACACAACTCTGTCGTTGTTCTGGATTAAAGTCATGGCAGAATACCCGGAGATTGCCAACACAGCACTTAAATCCCTATTGCCATTTCCGACAACCTATCTGTGTGAAGCGGGGTTTTCTGGAGTAACAGTAACAGTAACTTTGGCACAAGTAATAGAATTTCTTTTGATATTCAACAAGAACTACAGCACACATCAATTCAAATTTCCTGGATTAAAGCACACAGCAATAGAGTAGGTAATGAAAAAGCAGATGATTTAGCTAAACAATCTACGAGACAACCGAAAAATTATGTATACCCACTTCCAGTTTCATATCTTAAACGACGTATTAAAGATTCTCTTCTAACAAAATGGCAATTTCAATGGAATAATTCAGACAGAGGCAGACGTCTATTCAAAATTATTAACAATGTTACTTTTTTCAAAACAATTCCTCCAAAACAAGTCATCTGGTTCTTGACGGGTCATGGACCATTTCCAACCTTCTTTAATTACCTGCATATAACAGATACTGATCTTTGCACCTGCGGCCAACAAGGTTCGCCTGAACATTATCTCACTAGTTGTTCCTACACTGTCTCCTGGCATAGTCGTCAACCTAGCCCAACAAATTTAGAAATTTGGCAGAAAACTTTTATTACAAACAATACTTTAAACAAAAGATTAATAACAGTAATGAACTTCTTAGCGGATAATGACTATCTATTAAAATTTTAATAACTTCCCATTTCACA